CCTCAGGCACACAGAAGTTTCGGAATATGTAGAGATATGTAGAGTAAGCATGTCGGGTGCAAAATGGCAGAAAAAACTGCAACGTGGCTTGGACAATCCCCATTGAGAGGCCACTCCGAAGAAGACCCCTCTCTTTCTATATGCAAAGGCACGGCAGTTTCGCTCGTGAAGGCTTGGCGCAGCAGCGTCAGCAGCTCCACGTCCAAAGCGCAGCCACTCAGGCGCAGCGAGGACAAGTGCCTCACATGCGCGAGGCGCATTTAACATGCTTCAACCTCACCTGGTGCGAGTGACTCGTAGAGTTTCAAGCTGTGTAAAGCAGAAAGCATATATAGATGAGGTATCCTACAACATTCTATAACTATAAGTTATACTGAATGGCTTGGCCATTTTAGCAAGGGGCAGAACAAGCACTCCCACAGAAACAGGAAAATTGGGTGGACCGGTCTCACTGAGTTCTGCAAAGCCACACACATTGTCGTCGAGTGAAAAAAAAGACGTTGGAAACTCTCGATCATCCTCTGATGAAGAAGTGCCATATCTTTGAATGTTTCTCGCCACAGCCCACAGGGCATCAATGGATGGATGAAGACCCGAAGAAAAATCAAGTTTATGAATATTTGAGACATCTCGAATACTGAAATCTATATCCAATGTTCAAAGTCTACAATGCGTGTAGAACTAGGCTTGTGCGATTCAGGGCCAGAGTCCAGAGTATCTCTCTCAGCTTGAACTGTCACCGTCCGGCTATATGGTTGCAAAACGTTTGGTCAGCGTTTGTCCTTGAGTCAAGCTGCAAAGAACTTGGTAAGACTACCTGGAGCATCAGCACAGAGGCGCGATCCAACAAGCAGCTTTGCAGATTCAACTCTTTCGGGGGCGGCAGGCCCTGCAGGCAAACGCCACGAAGAAGTGTTTGTGTACCAGGTGCCACTCCAGGGACCCCCCCCGCAAAATGGTAGGCTCCCTCTGCCACACTGAAGGCCTATCCGGAAAAAAAAGGTTGCTCAGGAGAAGCTCAAACATGGTTTTGGCTTCATAAACCGCTGTTCCAGCTCTGCATCGGTTTCCTGGGTTTTGCTGCCAGCCTGCGGTTCATGTGCGCTGGCTCAAGACATGGACCTTAGCCTTCATGAAATGTTCGAATTAAACACTGAAACACACTGGGGCTGATGTAGAATTGTAGAATCACTACCTGTGGGGGCTTCATGAGGGGCAATCTTTTTCGGCTTGTGTTTGTTTCTTTACCAGCTGCAAAGCTGGTCTTGGGCTTTCCTATTCGCGTGTACCGGCAAATTGACGGTACCCATATCAAAACCATCGAAACAGTCCCATAAAACTTTGCACCATAAAGGATTTCTCCCAGGGAAAACTGTGCCCAAAGGATCACAGGACGAAGCTCCGCCCTGAAAGGAGAACTTGTGAGGCCAAAGTCCGGAGCCACGAAGTTCTGAGTGTCCAAAGTGGTCATGCGCACCCAGATGCGCATCTAACCACCCCAACAAAGGCAGGAGGCATTGGATTTTACATTTGACCCCAAACATCCCCAAATACACCAGTAACAAGTGCATTGCTACTAGTAACAATTTCATTACTACTGACAAGAAGCTACTAGTACCGATGCCCTTGTTCCTAGTAGCGATGCACTTGCTACTGGTAGCGTCGCCTTGGCGCTGGGCATCAGCTCATGATGACCCACCAAGCCCAGCTGGCCACAAAGCAAGGCATAGTCGTCTCGCAGGTGGCCATTCGCACGGAAAGCCTCCCAGCCCATTGGCACAAAAGCCGTGCCAATGGTGCACGACCAAGGGGGGAGTAGGGGAAATACCTTGTTACTAGTAGCGATGCCCTTGTTACTAGTGGTTATGCCCCGCCTGCACTACCTCAGGGCTAAGGCGCTCAACATGATTGTTGATGCCATAGACCCATGCCTTCCGTTTTGCAGGCTCCTGGCTTCAAATCAGCAGGCAAGAGCTGAGAAGATTGTCCATTCAAAGGTTTTGGCTCACAAAAAAAAGCTAATAAGATGAAACCATGGAATTTGATATACACTCCCCAAAAATAACGTATCCCTGGCAGCGGAGCAGTTTTATCACCATTCAGAGTTGTTTATATAAATACTTGGATACTTGGAGTTTCTTTCACAACTTGCATCAACTTGCTGTGTATGCTCCTCCTCCTCTTCCTCAGGAGGGTCTGGTGGAGGTGGCTCGTCCTCCTGAGATCTTCAGCTCTATGGGATCCAATCGCCATTTGTCACAAACCAGGATGGACCATACTTTATCATACTTAATCATAAGATTCTAGGAGGACTATTAAGAGGACTACCACGGCCATTTGCACGATTGTCTACACCATGGGGTCCCAGTGTTTTCCACGATAAAACTCGAAGAATTGGGTCCTTCGCCTTAGCTCCCTTCTTTGGCATGGCTTGAGCCGAAAGCAATCACTCTCAGCGAAAAACAAATTAAGAAGTCAGCAATGAACAACAAAATGTCAGCAGCGGGCGGCAGGGATGGGATGGAATGACAAGGTGGGTGAGATGCCCTGCGCCTGCCGACTGCGGAAGCTTGCTGGCAATGTGCGCCATCTGCACCTAGGCCTACTTTCAGATAGCATCAGGTTCATGACCGCGCCACTCCGATGGAATATCAGCAGCACGAGTTATGTTTGGTTGAATACTTAGATACTGTAGATACTTAGACATGTACTCCGGTCATTGTGAACTCTTATGCAGGGCTCGAGTGCAAAATTGCCAACGGTAGAATGCTGGGCGACTGACGCACAGGCAGGCACCAAAGAAAATTAGTCTCAAACGGTTTACAACCTCACCTCTCTCCACTGTACGGGGGAGCAACTTGCAGCACGCAAGCATTCCGCATGCCAGTCAATTGATGGGTCACCTCTCGAAATGTATTTTTCGCCTAAGCACATTGCACATTTGGAGAAAAACTGGCTTGGCCACGTCCGGTTGTGCATATATATACATATATATATTATGGCTTTGCCATGGTTGCAATCTGAACCCAGTCATTTGGGGAGCACCTGCTCATTCACTGCGAGTATGTGCGATTCCAACCTTTCTCAAGATACTTTCTGATCCGCATGCACTCCTCCAAGCTCATGCAGGACGATTGGACCAAACACTAAACATGTTGCAATCAATAGGCAATCATAGCAGCAATATAACTTAACCACAAATGCAATCATACCACCGTCACCTCTCTTTCCACGCCTTCATCAATTTGGCATTCTCGTGCTGAAGCACTACCATATCCAAGGCCCTTGCATTCCCTTTCAGTTGCATGATGCCCTGGCAGAACTCTGAGATAGTAATGAGACCATCTTCGCCGGACAAAATGTCAAACAGTGGACCGCAATCACGGATGGTGATCCTCAGTCGCTTGAAACATGGCATAAAACTTCATCGCACCTACTTCATCAGCCAGAAATTACCACCATTGTTCACTAGAAAAAGGAGAACGATCTCAGCAGGATTGCAGGATTGCAATGCACGGCCCTGCTATCTACTGGTGGGCAACTTCTATGAGGAACTCTTGGGCCTGTAGTCAACTACGGCCTAGGACCTAGTTTAGAGATGTTTAGAGTCAATTTAGCCCAGCATCTCTAGATACCTCAAGTATAAATCCACACTTGGCAAAGACATAGCCGCCACAAACTCTTCAGGTGTAAGATTTCCATCCTGGGTTGGACAGGTCATTCGCAAGAATCTGATTCTTGATAACTCTTGGAGGTCAGCCTGAACACAAACGTCACAAAGCAAGCCTATACATGCATGTAAAGTCATGTTTATCTCAGTAGGCCAGCTGCCCCATCGTCGTCCACAAGATGGAAGAGTTCTTCCAACTTCTTTTGATATTCCAAGGCTTTTCTTCTGGAGTCTTCAATAACCAATTCGGCGTCATTGGCTGCTGTTGATAAAGTCTCCTTGATAAATAAAGCGGTTACAATTCGGACAGCTGCAAATACAACCTTAGATGGCAGATTTCAGATTGCACTGCAGATTGATTGCAACAAACTAGGGGCCACCTCGAACAAGGCTGAGTGGACGTTGAGTCAAAAGTGTCTGTCACGAGAAATGTTCACTTCTCTTTGTGCCAGGCCAGCAGCAAATACCACATACAACAAGAAAGGGATAGAGTACCAAGGGCTTACCAAATCAACCACCGGGCGGACCAACAAAGGCCAGCCTCCTGCAGCATGGTTCCACAGCCCACGGCTGACATGGTTTCCAAACATGGTTCAAAATTCCAAAAAACGAAACAAGCGGAAGCTGAAAAAGTTTTGTTGCTAGGGAGGTGCGAAGGAGGAGATGGATGGATGGATGGATGGATGGATGGATGGATGGATGGATGGATGGATGG